ATTTATTTTGTAAATCGGGGGTTTATTTTGAAACCACTCAAAGTTTTTAAACACTGGCACAGAACAACTGACTGCTACATTTAAATCAACCAAGATTGGATACTGAAAATTATATGAATGTTTAACAGCAGTAATAATAACCATGTAATGTCTGGATCTCTACTCCAGATAGGATCAACAGACCCATGGTGTCCGTCACAAAGCAGGATTTGGTGTCCTTAGTCAGTATGACATACCTTGTAGGCCCTTGGGTCACACTGATAACATTCGCAGCTTTTCTTGTATTGTTTATAGATGAAGACCAGATCAAATTATTTTATACTTTAACTGGGAGGTGACATTCTCACCTGGGCCCTCATCATCATCACCGTTGTCTCATGGGTTGACCAGAATACAGAGTGAGGGTCAGAAGACCTTCAGATTTCTCTATCTCAACTGCTTTGTACTGTAGCTGTTATGGAGAACTGACTTTTAGCATAGCTGAAGTGTCGTGTTTGTCATTGTTCCAAGAGCAAAACGTGATATGAGGTGTATAATTCCTGTACCCTGGAGCAGTTCTTTTTTGTGTATATCCTCTTTGTTATTTATATGCAATCGTACCTTTGTCATTACTGAATACGTACAAGGCACCTTCTACTACCTATTATTATATACACACAGTTGCCAGTTTATTGGGTACACCCATCTAACGATTATGAAATCTTATAAAAGAAAAAAAATGACTTCATTACAACTCAAAGAATTAATCATCTCCTGAAAATTACAGTATAAAGTTCAGTTTAGAAAGGTGTTGATTGAACCTTTATGGTATTTTGGGGGGTTGTAGTTTGTGGTGCTGTTTAGATGTATTCCTGAGGGGGTGTTTTGGATAAACTGGCAAATCCATTTCTTCCAGTAAGGATAGACAAGGAGCCAAAACTAATGCAGCCTGAGTGTTGGTCTGTAGAGGGTGAACAGTCACTATCATTATGTTCAACTAATTTTCCTAACTCATTTCCCCGGCAAATGTGGCCACACACTCTACTGGAGCTGGAGTTGCATGTAGTAATGTGTGGGGACTTTTTCTCAACTGACTGTGGATATTCCTTCCCTGCACCTCCTAGATGAACTGCTTCAAGCAAAGGCAGAGACGTATAGCTCCCATGCAGGCTAGCAGCATAAATGAGCCGATCCCCTCCAAATCTCCCAGGATGAATGGATGGTCATGGCCCCCTCAAGCCTTCCAGCTGAGTACCTGGTTGGTGTACAGCTACCTCTCTATAGTCAACTTTGGCATCTATGTCCCTCTTCTGCCTCTGCCGTGGAACCATGTGGTCTATGCTGTATCCTTAATATACAACGGCAACATTGCTCTCATTGTATCTGAATGTGAAGTGTGCAGCAGTGACTCTTTCAGATTTGAATATGGAGCAAACTTTAGCCTCTGCTACAAGTTTGAATTAAAGTTTTTTGAGCTGCTAGTTACAAGACTGTTGGTTGTCCGTACGGGCTCCAGTCACACCAGATGTGACTCTTTTATTTTCTGCGGTTACTGTTAAGCCTTTCTGTTAAGTATTTTGTTGCCTTGTACTTGTTACATGTGTAATGACATTAAAGTTGAATCTAATCTAATCTAATCTAAAAAAAAGACAATCACTGACATTTTTATTACATGTTGAGCCACTGCCGTTCAACAGTTTGCAGTAGTGCAGTATTCTGCACCTTGTTGCATATTTATCACATTACTTTGTATTTTTCTAATATTATCACTGTTTTCCTTCACTGTTGTCGTCCACAGCTGGGGGGCATATCATTTATTGTACACTTTTTCACCCATATTGCTACTGTTACTATAGACCCAGCAGATGACAGTGTCAGGGCCAAACAGATCTACTCCAGTCCAATGCCAGTTTTTGACCGGACAAAGCAAGCGCACGTCATCCAGGACAGATACTGTAGTCTATGTAATGTAATGGTGTATGTATTTAAGTTTTTACATTAGTAAAAATATGATTTGGGAATCAAGAAAGTGTCTAATTTAATGGAGTGAATCTTCATCAATTTTCATTTAGTGGCCCCAGAGTAAAACACTGTGGTGTTTGCAACAAGTGTGTGAAAGACTTTGATCACCATTGCCAATGGCTGAACACCTGTGTGGGTGGCAGAAATTACTGGTAAGAAGTATCAGATGATTATTGTAGCTGTTACTATATGGTTGATGTTCCCAGTGAAATGTGACATACTACAGTATATAAATTAACATCAGGCTGTGTGTGCTGCCTTCAGGTGCTTCTTTGCAGCGCTGTCCTCTGCTACACTAGGTGTCTTCCTGCTTGTTGCTGTCACCTTGTTTATCGTTATTCAACATTACCTGGACCCAAACAGTCTACGAACTGCCCCACAGTTTGACAGTGAGTCGCCACCACTTCTTACTGTATATCTGACTGAAGAGAACAAATATAAACAGCTTGGATAATGTTTTTTATTATTCTCATCATTTAAAAGTTGTATGTGTATTGTTCCTTGTTTTTGTAGGTACACTGGGGAATGGAACCTGGCTGGTGTTTTTACCATTAGCACCAATAAAGACTAGTTCAGCTGGCCTCCTTGTATTAACCTTGATCACCATCACACTGAGCATCATCTGCCTCGCGTTGCTCTGTCATCTTCTGGGTTTTCACTTCTATCTGTGTAAGTCACAATCTTCAAAACAGACTTTTGATAAGACATATCTCCCCATTCATTTGGGTGTTTGTTCTCCTCTTTTCCAGTTTATAAAGGAATAAGCACATATGATTATATAATGATGCAGCGCCAAAAAAAAGACAGAAACCAAGACATAGAAGCAGGACATCCCAGTGAGGCCAAAGCCCACCGCATTGCTCAACAGGTGAGATCTGTCCTTTTCCTCTCAGAGTCAGTCACTTGTTCATTCCATTATGTGTGTAAAAACATTTTTCTTTTACAGAACCAAGAGAGCTCAATGGGCTGTGAGCCAGCATTATCACAGAGTTCAAGGTAAAGCAAAGTCCTTACAGTTCTTGTTATAATCCCACTAAAGCTAATTTTGTAGAGAAGGATGACTGATGTTACTGGGTTTTGTGCAGTACCTGCAAATTTAACAATACAGGCTCACTCAACAACCAACTTTCAGAGTCTATATATACCGAGGTAAGCCTGTCTGTTTATTGTATATCTCCTTTGAATGATTTTACAAATGGGTGCTAAATGGGTTATACTTAAAATCTGTTTTTGTTCTAGGCAGAAAACTTTAAGAAATCCACAGAAAAGGAAAACAATTTTCATTATGGCACTGAAAATCTCACAGAGAACACAGCAAGTATGTTTATGATTGTACTTATCAGTACTGTACATCTCGTTTAGACAAGTAATAATAAAAATATTAGAAATGCAGTTAACAATACACAATTAAAGGTGCAAAAATGGGTGAGCATTCCTGTGGAAGCTAAATAATTAAAGTTAAATAATATTTACCCATCTTTTGCCCCCAAAGGAAGGTGGGGGTAGCAATCAGGCCATGCCTTCATAAATCTTCAGGGCCCCATTACAAGCAACACCATTTGCCAGTCCTAACACAACCTAAAATGCACATCCAATCATGCACATAACAGAAAACCTCCCCACTCTGACCTGACTTCTGTCCTTACCCAAGCAAAGAGCAGATATTTAGTGGCAAACCACTTATAATATCTGTATTGTATTTGCTCACACATTTTTCACTCTTTGTGAAAAATTAAATTTTGTTTTTTACATTATTTATCAGAGGATTGTTGGACTGCATTACACTGTACAGGAGTTTCTATTTTTCTGGTCACTCAGTGTAAATTAACCAAAAATAAAGTATGGATATGATTTTGACTATACAGTTTTATAAAGAACATGAGCCTGTGCACTATGTAAATACTACTTCTCTCTGCTTGGTTCCTGTTTCTGAAAGGGGACATGTCCACAAGCTGGAAGCCTGACGTGGACAAAGAGGCTCAGAGGGCAGGTGTGAAGTGTGTTGACAGTGTTCCTGAGATGCAGGACCCCCTGGGCAGCTCAGTCATGACTCCAGGTGATACCTAGCAGCGGCTGCTGTCTGCATGATGGCGCATCAGTATGCTGCTTTCAGGGAGCATGTATTATAAAAATGTGCTTCAAGATACTGAGACATGAAAACATGGACCCATTGTTTATATGGACAGAGCATATTTTGTTTCTTTTCATCTACACACAAATTAATTATTTAAAGAGTCAATGGCATGCTTTTCTGACATATCTACAATGTTACAATGATGAACTTCTATGCAGAAGCAACTTGGTTTATACAATCTTGTGAACTCTCACTGGCCAGACTTTTTTTTCCAACTATGTAAAGTCTTATGCAGTAGTTTACAGATTTCCATGAACAGTCACATACTCCAGGCAGTGCATGTTCATGCAAGCTTGCCTGACATCACAGTTTAACCTGACCGGGTCTAATGTGGCGTGAATGGAACAGCTGGAAACCTACAAGAAGTGCAGTGAAGCACCCTGGGGTGGTGAATGATCAGCTGATCAACACTGGATTCCCTCGGAGCACAACTGTTTGTTTTGACGGTTTGAGGCCACTGTGTCTACCACATGTGATGTGTTGCTGGTTGATGAGAAAATTATAATGATCCATGATGCTGTTGACGGTGCAACACTACCTGTTCACCTGTAACGTGAGGGGTTTGTGGGTGAAGACTCTGCAATCACTGGCTGGATTTATCAACCTTGGAACTACTTGAAAGGGAGTGATGTTTCCACTTACCAGTGGGATGCAACAGTAAGTTAAAAAAAAACATGTACACTTTGTTTAGAGTATTACAAATCTCTTTTCATTGGTACATATATCGTTGTTTACCTACCTATGGAGGAGAAATTAAAATTAATTAATGATGTTGCGGTTCGTCTTGCTGTTGACTTTCATGCTGGCTCAAACATGTCGGGTAGGTTATTTGTCAAAGTTCTTTGTTTATGCACTGTCGTGTAGCTTCCTGACCGGCAGCAGGAGTCCACTTTCACAAACTATCCTCTTGTTTTCAGGAGGAGGCTTTCCTTGTGATATTGGGTTTTATCATTCTGAAACAGTTACAGACTATTTAAATAAATAAGCTGTGGGACACATAAAAATGTAAACAATTATCAAAATGCTGGTAAAGAAGCATCAGATATTAATCACATTTTATGTGTAAAATCGTAATTCATAAAAATTGTAACTGAAATAAATGCAGGGAAAACTACAAATGTGAAGCTGCAGCATGTTTCTGCAGAGTATTTGTTATTGGTGAAAGATGGACAGGGTTAGATGCTGAGGTCAGGGTTTCAGATTGCTAAGTGAAAGGTTGATGTTCTTTTCAGCACCAAGGACAGCACACATTTCCCTTTCCTTGTTTCTTTTGCTGATAAAAAGTGACCAAACTCCCCTTGAAGTAGTGATGGCGAGATGAAGCTTCATGAAGACTTGAAGCCTTCCAGCCAATTGGTTTGCAAAAGGGTTCATTTCTCCAGGCTTCTTGTGCACACAAACCCCCCTGCTGGTCAAAGACTGTAAGACAGGCAGATGTGCAGAGGAAAGTGAATGTGCTTGTGAACAGAGAAGAACAGTGAAGGTGCTTGTGCAACTGATGTAGGGGGACACTTTATTCATTTTTATTTAAAAACAGTATTTGTTCAACAGAGTTGGGGTTTAAACGATCCCCCCCTTTTAGAAATATGTAATTCACAAACTCTCAACTCCAGCACTACCCAAGAATTGTGTGGAGATTCCTTGGGCTTTATATCTGTCAATACATCGTGGCAAAATTCAAACCACTTCCTGAACAGCTAACAGGAAGCCATCAAACCTCATCGATGATGTCACTCACAGTAAACAATACAATTTCTCAACACGCTTCGACAATTTCACCAAAAACTGAAACACTCTGAGCTTCATAAACACAGATGTTAGGGTGGAAGTGTTGCATTTATATGCATACAATTGTACAGGTGTACCTAATAAAGTGGCCAGTCAGTTTACATCACACGTAGTGGTTTCTGTTAATGTTGGACTATTCATTCTGCCTTTAATGAATAGCCTATAACATATCTGATGCTCTTGTCACACAGTCTAAATAATATTTGTTTTATATACATTTAGCAAACAAGTGGACCTGAGGCAGGAAAGCAAAGTGTGGAGAAAGATGTCTGTGCAGGGACCTTTATGGAACATCCATTGCACAATACAATTGTAAAGTAACTGGAGAATCCATATGTTCTGTGACTTTATGGCTTATATAATATGATGAGATTGTTTTTTAAATTCATGATTTGTTGATAGACAAACGGGCTGCTTGACAGACAAATGAGTTATTTTTGTGAAATGCAGAAGAATGCAAAGAAATGTGCAATACAGGGCCAGACCTTTATGACATAAAAACATGTTGATGATGTTCTTAATGCATGTTGAAATAAATATTTTCATAAAGATTAATATCTTGATTGGCAACTCTAAATTTCCTGTAGGAGTGAGTGTGTGTGTTTGTTTGTCTACATGTCAGCCCTGTGATAGACTGGTGACCTGTCCAGGGTGTACCCCGCCCCTCGCCCAGTGTCAGATGAGATTGGCTCCAGCCCCCGTGACCCTATTTAGGAATAAGCAGTATCGATAATGGATGGACGGATTAATAGCTCTACATTTTTACTTTTGCCAGTAGTTGTTGTAGTAGCAGGCAGTGGAATAGTGGACTAAGCAATAAACATTCAAGAAAAAGGTTGTGTGATTAGTTATGAGGGTCCTGTGCCCCAGTAGAGCTTTATCACCACTAGAGGGCAGCAGGAACTGGGAGATGTGTGTTTAAGAGGTGAAGCCTGTCTGTCACATGCCAGCCTTCTCGTTTTATCCCGACATCATCTATGTACACCTCTTGTTCTTAAGAACTCTGTGTTTTGCTCCTTTTTATGTACAGTCTGAAGTTTTATAGCAATTCTGTGTATTATTTATTTTAGCTCAGTTTAAATGTAATCTGCTGGCAACCACACAGTGGCGCAGTTGAAGCAGATTTAGTTAGATCATTATGTCACCGACTTGATTACACTGAGTACAGGCTGCTGTCATCATGATGAGTTCTGTCACTGTTCTGAGCCCTTTCTTTTTCTCATAATCATCTTACCACTTGTCCCTGCCTCTGAATTGTGTATCTGAGAGCTTGAAACTACCATATCATTTGAGCCATCAGCCAGGCTATAGGGTTACATAATGTCCACCAATGTCCAACCTTTAGGCTACTACTGGTTGTATAACACTGTAGTGCGCTGGACGCCAGGCGAGTCCAGGTCAGAGGGCAGTCTTTTTTTGACAAGAGGTAATAAAATAGCTTTTTATGAGTTTTGCCAATGGAGAATTGCTCTCCCTGATATTAAACAGAGACTTTATACTCGTTGTTTATTAATGAAGCTGACACGATCCTCCGTATAAAACCATCCACGTCCTTTGCTTTTGTGTGTTTACATCGTCCGTCTCCGCCTCTCAGAGCACCAAAAGGTGCTGCGTGCTCCCGCTGCTTGTGTATCAGCGCTCATCTGAGCGCACTGTGGCACCATCACAGCCTACAAGAACCAGGCCCGCAGAAAACAGCTCGTCTGCACAGGGAAGCAGCCAATCAGCGGGCTGGTTTCTTTTCTGCATCTCTCAGGGACCGAGCTATCAGGCAGATTTGAACCCAAGCAACGGGGAGTAAAGAGACTTCACGACTCCGCGACGCGCGGTTAATTATAGTTTTGTGAAACCGACAAAGAAAGGAGAAGATTACGTCACCAGGTGATTAATACTGATTTTGGCGTCATTGCTTTATTGGCAGTAGCTCGTTTTGGCTCGTGGTAGAACTACATGTTTTCACATTATGCAAAATGAAGAATTTGATGATTGCATGTCAGCCTACACAAATTCAGCTGATTCTTGAAGCTGCGCTTTGTTTAGCGTTCGCGTCTCTGCATGCTTTCTAAATACTGAATTTGCAATAGAAGATTCCTTTAAAGCACCGAGGGTATGTGTAACATGCAAAGGGTTTTACCTATAATGCCATGTTCTGCTTTGGCAGACATGCAATAGGGGGCTAACAATAACAAACTGATCACGTGGACTCTATGACTTTGACATTTGCAAGTTTATGTAACATGTTTCCTCAAGAAACACGCGCAGACACAAGAAGCTGTGTCCATGGCCAGGGACAGAGCATTTCTCCTCTGTTTATGTTTTAAACTCGGGTTCAATGCGAGCCAGGCGCACAATTATTGGTTAGACAGAATGATTGACAACGCATTTGGCCTGTGGCATTTGTGTCAAGCTGCTGGGTTACATGGAGCTAGTTACATAATTATGTGTAGAAAGAAATCTATGGAATTGCCTTCATTTATTAGCTCTGTGAATGTAGCTTTTTAAAAAAAGAGACAAATGAAGCATGGATATAGTACAACATGATCTTTTTGCGGACAAAAATATAAATAAATAGTCTATTATGTAATCATTGAGGTGTTGATTGGTTAATTATAAATACTGTTAGAATCTGCTATAGCTCCAGTAGGAAGAGAAAGTAATTCATTATTTTGTGAGCAGTGCCATTCAAAGACAGTAGCTACACCTTTACCATCAGGAAGATAATATGTTTATTTCCTCTCAGTGAATGTCTTTGTAGCTGTGCTTTCCCCAGTGGCTGAATTAGGTATGCATGAAAAGAAGACAGTCCCTGAGTGTGCCCCAGATTTCACTGTTCAGTTTCATTGTACGGGTCCAAGAACCTTTGGGTTCTGTCATAAACAAATAACCCCAGAGTGGAAATTATCCAATTTTTTTGTGATGACTCTAATGCAGGCCAGGTCTGCAAGGTAAAGGAGAGAGGGAAAATGAAGTGTTGTAGTCCGACAGCATTTTTCACCCCACAAAGTTAAAGGAAGATGTTTTTTCATGTTAACCTTAACACCAGGGAATAGAATAGCTGTCATCATTTGTTTCATTGTGTTTTATTTTCCAGCTGTTGTAGCTGTGGGATAAAAAATGGTTGTAGCAGAAGCAGATTTAGCATTTCCCTGACATTACAAACACTAAAGTTTGTTCTGTTAATTAATGAAGTGAGATATTATACAACACAGTCAGGCCTCTAATTAGCTGCTGGCTGAGCAGGTCCCTTATGTGAGCTGTGTCAGGGACACTTCTGCCGTCTCTGGCATCATGTATTCTTTGTAAAAGTGGAGTTAAATAAGGAACCCCAGGGCTTTCTTTTCACTGCCTTTGACCACTTTCTGGCTTGCTGTTGCTGCCAACAATAAGTGCTGTAGCTTGTTTCAATCATCTTGTTACAGCGCAGCACTTGCCAATATCGTTTTCACTCACAAAGCAGTTGAAGAGTTTAGGGAGGCGAGGACTGACAGAGTCAGTGTGCTGGTGTGGTGACCTCAGACTCAGGCTGATGTCATGCCCTCTCTGCTTGTGTCTTTGGGGAGAGAGTGAGGGTGGGGTATAGTTTTCAAGCATGGAAGTAGTTAAGAGGTTGTATTTAATTGCGTCAGGTTGTATTACAGTGTTATACCATATTACAGGATAAGGCTGTCCTCAGTCTGTATTTCTGTTACTGTTATGAAAAGGCCAAAATCAGTACGAAGTATTTGTCCATCTTTGTCTGTGCTTTCCAACACTCCTGCTGATGCCTGTGGCCATCAGTGCCAAGCCCATTTATTCATAGATGTAAATATTTAAAAGGGGATTTATAATATATATTTCCCTTGTTAAAAAGGCTAAGTATTTTCAGTTGGAGATAATAGATTTTAGCAAATGTTATTGAAACATGACTAAATGGGACTTTTGGTGTAGACAGTTTTCTCTTTCTCTTGTCCATGAAGACTCTACATGGGACAGATGCTGGGAAATCTTTCCAATGACTGAAAAAGATGGTACTAAAAGGCAGCACAACAGGCACTAAGCACCAGATCAATAGAAGCAAGTCTACCACACTGGACAGGGCCTCAGGTGCAGACTGGAAAATGCAGGATATGGAAAGTGAAGGCCAAAGTGGTCCCACTGGTGGTAGGAGCACTTGGGGCTGTGACTCCAACAAATTGCAGTACCAACAGCAGAGGTCTCTGTCCAGAAAAGTGCAGTGCAAAGAACAGCTAATGTAATGCACAGCACCCTCACACTCCTAGGCCTTTGGTAAAAGACCCAAGGTTGAGCAAAAATGGTAAACGGACTGAACCTATATAGCTCGTTTCTACCATACCTGGACAAAGCACTTTACAGATTCACACTCCCACACTGATGGCAGCGTTTCCACCGGGAGCAACTTGGGGTTCAGTCTTGTCCAAGGACATTTTGACATGTGGACTGGGGAGAACGGGAATTGAACCGCCAACTCTGTGATCAGGGGTTAACCTGCTCTACCCCCCTGAGCCACAGCCACCCCAAGACACACAGGAGTCTTGGGGCAGCAGCATGCTATCCTTGTTAACACTGTTCAGTAGTGCTTGTTCCATTCATTTGTACACTGGTATATGTGTGTAGTGGGGCAGTAAGCTGGCAGACATGGTGCACCATATTAAATGTACAGCAAATGGGTCCTGAGCAGACTGTTATTGTTGTACGTTTATGATTGACTGACATGGTCACGCTCTAGAGCAGCTGCCTGGAATGGAGGCTGATCTAGATAGAAAGCAGATGGGATCTGTGCATGCCCACTCACCATGATGGCATGGTAGAGGAGTAGGCTGCTGCTAAACATGAGCTCCCTTCTCTGGCTCTCTCTTAGACACATCACATCATTCTGACAACAGTGTCATCATTTTGTGAGTTCAACACCATCTGTCAAACTAACAGCAAGCTAACACGAAATATGGCTTTTTGGTGCTGTCTACTGGCTCATCTCCTCTCTTGAGAATATTTCAGCCATAGATTTGTATTGTTGCTATGAATAGATGCAGTTCAAAATGGGTCATTTTATTGTTAAAGCACTCATCTGTGCAGTGTAATTGCCAGAAGGCGAGTGTATGTAAGCATGCTGTCATCCAGTAGCAGATTTGTCTCTGGAGCTCTCACCTTAACCAAATGGCTTCTCATTTGTATGTGGCAATGCAGGTCAGAAAAAAAGGCACAGGACAAAACAGTTGAAACCATACATAGCGTTGAATGACGCAGAAATCAGTTGTTAATGTTGTCTCTGTTGAACATGATGTGGTTCAAGGAGGCTTGTTGTACTGAGGACTTAGACACTTGAAAGTACTTGCTATAAGAGGAGAGTGAAAAGATTCCTTTGTTTCTCTCAGTTTTGCTGCTGTTGTTAAAGCACAAAGGAAAACACACAGCGAGTAGTTATTCTACTGAGAGGATGTGGATAGCCACTGAAAGTAAAGTCAATAATGATGGAACCTTACTGTGGGCATTATAGGAAGCTACTGTGTAAAACTGAGCCCAGCAGCATCAAAAGCTACTTAACATGAAAACGCAGAGCAGTTTAATGTACATCCACTGTAATAACACACATTGTACTTTCTTTAGTTACAGTATAATTCTGTCAACAATGATTTACTATCATTAAACTTACAGTTCAAACTACTTCCTGTGAATATATGCGAATATACTTGACAAAAATAACAAATACAAATTAAAAATTTCCAGCAATAGCAGCCTCAGTAGTTCCATCATGATTGTCTTAGCCCAAACCCTCGATGACATATGACTACAGAAACCTCTGCCATCAATAGTGGCACTCTGCGATGTCACCATGGGTGTGTGTGTGTGTGTGTGTGTGTGTGAAGAAATGGGCCTGGGGTCAGACAGAGAAGCCACTTCCATTGGACAATGGGCTCCCAGTGTCTATAGCTCTGAATGCCATTATTCATACAGATTAATAATCTCTTCTTTTTTTCCTTAAGAATGACATCCTGATTATAATGGCATTATACAGTGTCAATCTTGGAACTTTTGTACCATTTAAGTGTCAGCTGTACTTAACAAGGTCACATTTGTGATTATTGGCCACAGGGTCATGGAAACAAAACTCTTTGGTTTATATGGTGCCACTTGGGGTGAGTGAAAGAACTTGACTGGTGATTTGAGGGACTCAAGATTGAAACTTTGCAAGCTGGAGCAGACAGGGCACGATATCTCTCTGTGGTTTGCATTTTGTTCGTGTCTGTTTAAAGAGTAGCGATTACAACCACTAGCACATAGTTTTCGAGACTTTGTTGGGGTGTACTTTGCCATGGCAACGCACGTCCTCTAAAGATGCTGGGCTGAGTATGGGAACAACTGAATGGTGAGCTGAAATCCATCACTTGCTACATATAGTGCAGGGTTAAATAATTTTAATCCAAATAGCAGACTGTGTGACATTTTTCACGCTATTTTATATGTCATTAGATTTTCCTGTTTCTTACCAAAGTCCTTTGGATGCGGTTCAAGTGTGGGGCTGAGGTGACATGCCACTGCTCTGTGATCAGCCATTCAAGATGATGATGTGTTTAGAGAGGAATCCCTAGACACAAAGTGAATGAAATCATCCAAAGCAAGAGGGAGTTAAGCTGTCACACAGACACAAATCTAGTCTTAAAATATGTGTTACAACAAACAGTAACTAACATACAGAAGCTGTCTGTGAGTAATATGGCATTATTTATGATTGAGGGGATTGTGATTTGTGTTCTTTTTGAAGATGTGGGTTTTATTCACTCCATTCTGAAAGTCTTCCTTAAAAGGATCTCTGTCTGTGTGGGTCAAACTGGACTGCACATTATGTCATAATTAACTGTGTTTATACTGGATTGGATTACACTGGAACATGAATAAAGAGTAAAGAGAGAAGTAGAATATTGTAGCTTGTGTACTGATGCTGTGTTAAATGCTTTAATTTGATTCTTTTCTCATGTTCCTTCCTCTTCCACTCATATTCATACAGACACATCCTCTCACATCATTCACCTTCATTTTCATCTTTCCCAAAGCACAAAGAGAAAACAAAAGTCAGCTAATCCAGGCACTGCACAGAGGGAGCCAAACTCCTGCACAAGCATGGCAGACCACAAGTAAGTTGTAGAAGCAAGCTACAGTATATAAGCTTTCACTTTACATTTTGGGTTCTAGTTCTATTACCCGTCAACTCTCTTGGTTCTTGATTTGTGTGCCTTTGAATTCCACAGAGATCTATTTATATTCTTCACCTCTGTGCCAGAGAGCATAAGACATCTGCCCATTTCCAGGCAGTGTGAGCACAGAAACTCACCTATGGACAGTCTAATCCTGCCTAAAACATGAAAGTATACCAAAAGGGATGGCCAGAGACAAATAAGCAAGCTGTGTCTTGATCTTAAGACATGAAGCACTGTTTACTTTCTGCAGAATAGTTTGTCAGAAGTCCTGAAGAACAGTGTTAAGTCAGATGTATTTCTGCCAAAAACCCCTCTTCTTCCTTCCTGGTGTACTGACTGTGATTCAATGTCCTTTGCCTTTCTATCTGTTTATTTTGATCAACTCAAATGTAAATTGTTTAATGTAAATCTTGGTAGAAAGTATGCAATGCTCTTCCTTGATGGGCAGCCAATAATTTTTATGCCATGGGCACTGCATTTCTCAAATCATTTGTGTTATTTTACATGCCTCTTGTATTCTTATCCAGTTACGTGGTTTGAAGGAGTAGCTTCAGTGCATCAGCACATTCTCTGTTATATTACTGAACTCTTACATCACAAAGATGGTTAAATGATATATTTTTTCCCTCTCAGAGACAGCATAGATGACTTTAAAGTCCAGACAGCAAAGCATCCTAACATGAGCACAGTCCCTTTACGGCCACACAGTGAACAATCTAGAGACCGGCTATCCAAAAGGCTTTCAACAGAGTCCAATGGGACCAGTGAAGGAGGTGCGGGGTCATCCACACCGGTGGAGGTCACTGCTTTGGAAGAATCATTTCGGCGCTTTGCCATCCACGGTGACACTCGTGCTACTGGCAAAGAGATGCATGGCAAGAACTGGTCCAAACTCTGCAAGGACTGCGGTGTGATTGACGGCAAGAACCTCACCCTCACTGACGTGGACATTGTCTTCAGCAAAGTCAAGTAAGGACCACACCAAATGTATGGTTCACCAAAGATTAAATGTAGTAATATTCTTTTCAGCCTATTTGAGTTTTTACCTTTCATAGTCTAAAAGCATTTTTAGTAGCGTTTAATGATTCTGTCGATATCTGAGCCAACTAGGATCTTGTAATGGATGTGTCACTATTGGACTGTACTCTTTTACTACATACTATAGGGTTACAGTACATTACTGTTGCGGTGGCAGAAATGACCGCAGGCTTAGTCACCTACTGTAAATCAGCACGCTCAAAAGGTCACTAATGTGGAGCAGTGTGTGGTTGCAAGACCACAAAAAAGGAGATGAAAAATGGTTCACTATTTCTATTTCAGTTTTATTAGTGTCCGTAGAATTAAATAAATGCCACTGTCCTGAACATACAGTGAAGAAAAACAGGCCCACCAACTGACCACACAAAAGGAGTGCCGGCTGAATGTTGCATTGTAAAAGGTTTAATCTGCTTCATAGTGTTTCATCAGTCAGTAAAATTAAGTCAGTAACGAATGTCAGTTTATAAAACCACCATAATATTAGCAACAATGCAAGGCCACATAGTTTGTAGTTATTGAATGAAATGTTTTCAGGCAGTATTTTAGAAAATGCACTTCTTTTTTTTATTAAGCTTACTTGGGTGAAGCTGGCCACCAGAAACAGCAGACAGAATAACAGCAGACAGCAGACATCCTTTATCTCCCCAGGCTGCACCGATTCATCCTTTACTGCTGGATTTAAGTGAAGTGGAGTCTATAATAAGTTGTGACTTCAGTATTGAAAAGCCCTTTTCATCTGTATAGCTCTGCGTATGTTGACCAAGGTTATGGAGCGCCTGCGGACTATTTGGGCTGATAACACATTGACAGATAACTGTAGATATCTTTCACATTAAATGTTAGTACTGTTATTGTATTGCCCACACACAGTAAGTGCCTGGTGTAAGGAGAATGTACCGGGCTTTTAAAATGTAGCCCTGAAGTGTTTTTTATTCTGATTGAATGATGTGAATAAAGATTATTCTGCTACACAGCACCAGAACAGAGGAGCATGGCTTTAATTCACTCATCATCATGTCTTGCTGCAGGAGAGTAGAGGCTATGAAAAAGGTCTGCTTGTGAATCTCACACTGATTTAGTAGATTTTCCATCTTATGCTGGTGTGTAACCGTAGGTCACGCTTATAAAGTACAAGATTCCAAAAATGGTTTTTAATGTATTTTTTTTCTAGCTCTGGAGTCAACTACTTAAAAGTAGTTGGTCCTAGTTTTGAGGGAATAATAATAATTATTGCATTTTGTTGCCAGGGGCAGATCTAGAAAATTTTGGATGGGGTGGCCAGGCTGGGGCAGACTCAGAGCGGGGTGGCACAGTTGAAATACATATAAAAATTAAATTAAACCCCTAGCTCTATGAAATAAAGCATACATTGTTTAAAATCAAATTGTTTATTTTGTGTTAAGATGAGTCACACATAGTGCTTTCTTTAGCTAACTTTATCTGTGCTCCTTATTTACTCCTGGCTGGAGACATCTTTGCAGCACAGTGCCCCCCAGCCCCTAACCCCCCTCCCACTGAGGCAAATCGTGCCAAATACTCCACAATAACGCACTAATTTGACCAATACCAATTACAAAGCACCAGAAAATGTTAGTTGTACTTAAGACAGGGGTGGACAATTCTAGTCTTTGAGGGCTGCTGCCCTGCTTGCTTTCCCTGACAGCAGCCCTCGAGGACTGGAATTGTCCACCCCTGATTTAAGACAACAATTTGTCATTGCTTTTCACTTGTAATTTATTAATACTGACAAGCACAACACTGGCAGGGGTGGCCAGTCAAATTCTGGGGTGGCTGGTGTCACCCTTGGCCACCTCTTAGCATTCCTTCATTATTTCAGCCATCACTTCTTACAGTAATTTTTGTGAAGCCAAAGAAGTACCCTTGTTTTTCTGGGTTTTGAGTCACCCACATTAACGCCTTCACTGTTGGTATGGCAATGGATGTTTATGTTTACTGTTGTGAACATTTTTCTTGGCAAGACCAGAGAGGGAGCTTTAAGATGACTGGGATTTAGGCTTGTCTCACTTTATGGGTGAGTAATATTTATAAATGTGCAAACAATTTGGTGTAACCACTTTAGAGATCTAAGGAAAAAGCATGTTCCCTTTCTTTTCATACATGCTTTTAGTGGTGAATTTGTGCAGTATTGTACACATTAGGTCCTTGTGTGTTAGTCTGGAGAGTGTGTCATCTGGGCCCTTCTGGTTCTAATCAGGGTCCCAGAGAGTCCACTGTGCATTTTGAAGCAACCTCACAGCTCAGCAGTGCATTGACCAGTACAGTACACTCAAATCTGAATGAAGTGTGTGGTGTGTGTACACTTCAGAGACAGCCACAGGACAAAAAGAGTTACAGATGAGGGGGAGGGGCCCATTTTCATGTCATTTCTGACTCCAGGCATGACTGAGCCAGGGAGGGGAGGGCTGCCATGCCAGAGATGCATTTCTCCACTTTCCTTTGAATCAGCGTCAAAGCTCTTTCCTTGCAGATGAAAAATTAAGCAATTTAATAAGCACTGGCTAATCACAGTCTGGCTGAATGACTCCTTCTTTTTTGTGGTTATGAAGGTCTGTTGCACCACATTTAGTCTCTGTTGTGCTGTCTGCCTGCTTGGAGCCAGAACACTGCAGCATAAACTAAGGATAAGGTAGAAATCTGGTGTGATCTTGTGGTGGCTTTGGGTGTATTTTCTCATGAATGATCATGATTGTAGGTGGCACAGCAGCATTTTATCAATTCAGCCAACAACTGTATTAGATCTATAAGGATCATGTACTGCAGTTGGCTGACCTATGTAAATAAATGGCAAGTCAGCTACTGCTGTATCTCAAACTAAAATAATGTTCCACTAGGCCTCTACCCTTTGCCTTTTTTAACCTTATCACAGCTTCCTCAAATTCTGATTTGCAGATTATTTACACAGGTTAACTATCTGCATAGCTCAATATGGAGAGATCTGCAGAGGACAGTTAGTTTCCTTAGACAGAAGCAGCAGCTGAAGTCCAGTTTCTCCTCTGACAATAGACAGCATGGAACAGGCACAGAAGAATGGATCTCTCACATGTTCAACACCAGTGGGTCCCTCAAACAAAACCAGTCACCGAATGTGAGTTGAATTAATAATAAACCCAAACATTTCTGTTTACTGTAGCTTGTCGCTATGACAGCAGGTTGCCTAGGGAGACTGCAGGCTTTATAGGCTGCTGTTTAGGTAATTTATCACCACAGAGATGGCTGTTTGTGTTTATGTTGCTATGCACTTCTAATATGGAAGTGAAACGGGCAAGTGGCCAGCTGAATGACTGATGATGATCTGTGGTATGCTGCTGTCAGTGGTTAAAACAGTTTGATCTTATAAATGAGAATACAGAGGTCCACGGCACTCTTCTAGGTACCTAGTTGCATTTAGTAGGTGTGAATGCTAGAATAATAAATATCAGGGCTCTGGTTCCTGAGCACTGCAGCTGAACACAATATGATACATGATATGAAAAGTCACATATACAGCCTACAGCTGTGTGAGTTGCTCAGATGACAGTTAAGTACTGAGAGAGACACTGGCAGACAAAATCTAAACAGGCAATGTTTTCTCATTGTTTATCACAGTAGGATACCATCTCTATGCTATGTCCTACATCTGCCACATTGAAGTGATTGCACACGGCTGTGTAGACAGTACCATTCACTCTCACTTTAAGCTTTCAAACTCTGAGAGGTGTTAGAGTATTTAAACTAATAAAGCAAACTTTGAGTAAATCTAGCATTTTTGTCCCTGGAGGGTCAAATGAGCAGATACATCTTTTCTGGGTGGTATGTGCTATACTGTGAAGGTGTGTCAGGAAGGGCATCCAGCATAAAGCCGTGCTAAATTACTCATGCGAATTGGATTCGCTGTGGTGACCCCTAATGGGACCCTCCGAAAGTAGAGTAGTAGATGTGCTATACTGTGAAGTGTTATCCCATACTTGACCTCCATCTTCCTCTTATATTTCAGGAAGAAATCCTCTCGCACCATCACATTTGATGAGTTTAAAGTTGCCCTTGGAGAGCTGGCCAGGAAGAAATACAAAGACAAGACTGGAGAGGAGGCTGAGGCTGAGGTCTTCAAGCTGATTGAGGGGAAGGCACCTGTTATTGCAGGAGTTACAGTAAGTTGTGACTGTCACTGGACTTCATTACAGATCACATTATGTCCATGTAACCAGCAATCACAAAATAAACTTCAAACTTCCTTACAGAGAGCCGTGGCTTCTCCGACAGTGAGCCGTCTAACGGACACCACCAAGTTTACAGGTTCACACAAGGAGCGTTTTGACGACACCGGCCGCGGGAAGGGTAAGGCGGGACGAGTAGACATAGTTGACACTTCCGGATATGTCTCAGGATACAAACATCAAGGGTCATATGAAAAGAAAGTCAATAAACCCACCACAGCCAAACCCATGTGAGGGCGAAGATAAGGAAATAAACATTTGATCCACTACCAGGATAATTTTGTATTATGAAGAGCACTAAAGAAAGCACAAAATAATAGGATTTCATATATTTTCCCACCCATCTATTTTGTGTGTGTATGTGAGAGAGATTTTTATGTTCCTCTCTTTGTGAAGTGCAAAAACTGGAAAACTGTTTACATCTACAACCCCAAATCAGAAAAAGTTGGGACAGTATGTGAAATCAAAATTAAAACTGAAAATAGTGATGTGTAAATCATCTGTGTCCTGTATTACACTGAAAAAATACAGCAGCACATTATTTGATATGATGCCTCATCAGTTTGATTCTTTGTTCAGAATAAAGTCTCAGTTCAATTCTAATGCCTGCAACATATTCCAAAAAAACTCAAACCAAATAATTAAATGTGTCAGGTGTTCCTCCTACAAACAAGTCTTAAGATGCACAACAGTCCTGGGTTTTCGTTGATACAATTTGCACCTATGAACGTGCCACACGTTCCCTACTGGGGATGGGTCGGGACTGCAGGCAGGCCAGTCCAGAACTTGCACTCTTTTCCTCTGCAGCCATGGCCTGGTAATGTGCAGTATGAGGTTTTGCATTGTCTTGTTGAAATATGGATGGGCATCTCTGGAAGAGATGTCCTCTTGAAGGCAGCACACATTGCTCCAACATCTTGTTCAGCATTAATGGAGCCATCACAGAAGTGGAAGTGACCTTTACCAAGGGCACTGACACAACCCCAGACCATGACAGACTCTGGCTTCTGGATTTGTTGCTGGTAACAGTCTGGATGGTCCTTTTCATCTTTGGTCCTGAGCACATGACATCCATTCCTTCCAAAAAGACCTGAAATACTGATCCGTCTGGCCACTGTACACATTTCCACTGTGTGATGGTCCATCCCAGATGCCTCCGAGCCCAGAGCAGTTGACTACACTTCTGGATACTGTTGACATAGGGCACTGTACATTTTAAAATGGCATTTATGGATGTAACTACGTATTGTAGTACCTGACCCAGGTGTGCCAAACTAATCCTGATCCCATGTGGTTATATCACTTATAGAAGATGATTCTTGATGCAGTGTCGTCTGAAGGATTGGAGAGCACGGTCATCCATCTTAGGCTTGCGCCCTTTATGGACTGAAATCCCTCCAGATTCCTTGGGTCTTTTAATTATGTTATGCACCGTAGAGGGTGACATATCCAAATCCCTTCCTATTTTTCTTTGAGGAGAATTGTTTTAAACATTTCAATAATTTTCTCACACATGTTGGCAAACTGGTGGTCCTCAGCCCATATCTGATCCTAAAGGGTGCGGCCTTTCCTGGATGCCACTTTTGTACCACATCATGATGCACTCACCTGCTTCTAATGGAGTCATCATTTCATTGTTTCACCTCATTACTGGCCCTGAAATGCAGCTGTACCAACTTTATTTTGGAATGTGTTACAGGCACCAGCATTGAAATGTTTATTTTGAACAAAGAATAAAACTGATGAGGTATCACATCAATTAATGTGCTTGCTGTATTGTTTTCAATGTAATACAGGACACAGATGATTTGCAAATCACTATTTTCAGTTTTAACTTTGATTTTACATGCTGTCCCAACTTTTTCTGATCTGGAGCTGTATTTTTACAAAGTCATCACCAGCTGGTACATTCCTCTCTGATAGAAAGGTACTGCCAAACACTGAAAAGAACAGAGAAACTGCAATGCTATGAATATTGAATCTTTGTTGTTATAATATGGCCTTATATTGTATTTATTGAGAACAATGAACACCATGCCAAGAAAAACAAAAATTGAACAGTCTAATGAATTTACAGTGTTGCACAGTTTGACGGAAATGTTTCTATTCCTGTATTTAGCTGAAGAAATGCATTTTTTAAATTTGTTTTGTTGAGCTCTGATAATAATGGGCATGGGATTTAGATGCAGATATCAGTGTTTATCTCTTCTGAAAACCTAAACAATGAATTCCATCTTCAATGTTTATTATTTATCTGCCATCCCCACTTGTCAACTGTTAAGGTTTTTATAAAATCTTTAATTTTATATTTTTATAGGTTGACACTGTCATTTGAATAATTGAACCACGATAAATATATTAAGAATTTTCTGAACTTGTTTTCAAAATTTTGCATAAATACAGTTGTTAGGTGTCAGATTAAACATTTTACCTCTGCTATACCTTCTTGTTTTTGTGAATATGTAAAATATAACAAAAGTCCTGCCATGCAAATCGTTTAATTGGGCCTGCATTTAACACAAAATTAATAGGATTTCCCCTTTTTTCTCTTAAACTGTCTTTACTCAAACCCTATTGCATCTAATTACAAACAAACCATTTTGTTAACATGCATTTTGAATTGGTGAATAAAGCCTAAAGGGGACTAACTGCAATAGGTATGCTCACTTGTGCAAGATTGTATATTTAACATTTGACTTATTTCCTCATCAGATTTCTATACAGTAGTTATAATATATTTGTGGTAAGATGGTGTATATTCTAAAAGGTTGTGGCCACATGACGTAATTTATGACACTGGCTTCATGTTTTTATCTTCTCTGTATTGCTGTACTTTGTGCATGTTATGTATATTGCATTTGATTCAGAAGCATATAGATGACACATTGTATTTGAACTGCTGTGCCTGCTATGAGAACAGACTACTGGACAGATTGAATTATTTTAGTGCCCCAAAAATATCAAGTGAAGAAATTGTGGCAACATGATAAAATCTTGTATTGCCTGCAATCAATATATATCAGCTTGTACATGTACAAAGTCAGCTATCCTCCAGTGTTATTATATATGTCTGCTGATAAACATTTTGAGTACCTTTAATATGTGGTATTGTCATCCACAGAATATGTTTAATGTAATGGAATAAATGGAAAACTGCCAACAAGTAATATACTTTTATAGAATAATATTTTTCCAAAATTGTAACAGTGGTTGTCACATGCTGCCTGTTGCCTCAGCTGGTGAAGAATCGTGCAACCAGATCAAAACTAGCAGCTATCAGTGTGTTAATTTTTGTCTGCTGCAGTATCTTGATTCTGAACTGTTTTCTGTGCTTAATACCAAATAATGTGCACCTTTAATGTGGAGGAACAATATTGTCTTTCCTTTTTTTTCCTAAATAACTTTTAATGTACTATTGTGCCCCATTGCATGAATTACGTTCTTTAGATCTCTTAATGTGTTCATGATTTGTAGTGCATTATTGAAAATAAATAAATAAATACATACATGAATACCCAGATCCATTGCTGAGTAGGTTATGGGGTGTCAGTCAGAATGCAGTGTTTTATACCCTTATGGCAGCCTTGTGATAACCTGACCTGGGATTAGCTTCAGCTTCCCCCACAAACCTCCAGCATAAGTGGGTACAGCTAATGGATCAATATTGTTGTTGTTTTTTTCAGGAACACTTACTCCCCACCAGTAACACTAAGCAGTGATCTATAATGTTCACATAAAAATAAAAGCTACATTAAAGTTTATGTTAAATCCTAATGTGATTTGCCAGGACCTGGACCAGGACCTCTTTGTGAGAGGAAAGTGCTTGTGTGTGTGTGTGCAGCTCTCCAGCTGTAAGGCAGAGGTATAAATAAAGCCACAGTGCAGCTGGAATCTAGACATATTCATTCCACTGCAGCGTGCAAAGCAGCTGGAGACACAACTGACCTAAAAGAAAAAGAAAGAAGGTATGAAAAGCAGCTGAGAGAAACTCACTTGCCACTGAACCAGAAAGTACACTATGACCTCACTAATATTTTTTCACCTAAAATCATTTGTTAATATAAACAGCCCTGTCATACACTTATACACAACCTTGCTTGAATTGAACTGCCTTTCCCCAGTGCTGTTTACATCAAGCAAACACAGCCTACATATTTCTTGTAATAAATAAGCACTTCATTTATCAAAGGGGTCTGGGAGATTAATACACAAAAATCAAATGCACACTGCAGTGATATTACAAATTAAATAAAAATTTATTTAAAAAAGTCTTTAGCTGCTGGGCCAGGCACAATGCTACAAAGAAACTCAGCACAGTCTTGTTTTCATCCCAGTGTGCAGCCCCTCATTCAAGTTCATCTTAATGTGGCCCACTTCCCTTCAGCTTGGCTAGCAAACACCTGTTGGTAGCCACCAGGGACCTGCAGGACATACACGGATACATTAACAACCAATAAAGCAGGGCTCATTTAGACATGAGTGTCAGTGCTCCTCTTGCCTGTGGCTTTCCTGCAGCATATTTGACAGTTCCTTGACTTTGTCAGCCTCCTGTACTTTCTCCCTCAGTCCCTCAACCTCTCTCCTCAGCTCCTCCACTTCTGTCTGAGCCTCTTAATAAGTGCAAGTACAAAGTATGAGAATTTGTAAGGAAGACAGCAAAATGTGCACTCACACGTATCAGCCAATGGCATTTACACCCACCTTTAATCTGAGTAATAGGTGAACTTTTCATCACAGACTTGAGATACTGTCGTTCTAACTTCATCAACTGCTTCTGGAGAGTGACATTCTCTTCCAAGACAATCCTCAGCTGCTCTTTTAGTTTGCCCTGTTTTGGAGGAAACACAATACAATACAGTGTGCTCATCAAGACTATCAGGCCTCCTAAGCTTCAGTATTGTTTTCTACTGCTGAATCCACCCACAGTCTCACTGAGAGCGACCTCCAGCTGAGCAGAGAGGTTATGAACTTCAGCTTTGTGCTCTTCCTGTTGTGCAGCTGCACGAAGGTTCAGGGCATCAGTTTCCCGTCTTAAGGTCCTGACCTCAGCCTCCCTTTTGGAAATATCACTTTCCATCATAGAGAGGATCTGGGCTGCCTGAGCTAGAGCCAAAAATGGACATGATGAAAAGACATTCAGGATCTGTGGCTCCTGTAATCAGATTCCAAATTCCCCAAAACTCACAGAGGAAGTTGTTGTTATGATGCAGAGGTCTCTCTCCACCCCAGTGTTTGTCCACGAGGTTGAGGAGCATCTCCAGGGGTTTCCTGTAACTACCCTAGGAGGTAAAACCAGAAATACCTCAAGTTTATATGAGAAACCTCAAATGTGATTTGTATCAGTGGGGACAAGGAGTGATTCATTATAAATGAGTTTATAAAAATACAAAAAAATTAAGTGTACACCTTTCTTTTCTTTTCTGCTTGCTGGGGCAGGCTGGAGCCCCCTTCTGTCTTGTTGAAGGTGGAGTAGGTCAACCTTGGAGGGTGTAAGATGGGGTTTGAAGGGTCAGACAGATCCAAAGCAGGACGACGTGGACTGGGAGGTCTGATATTAATGAATGAATGGGGGCGACTCTGATCTGGAAAATTGTTGAAAACACACTTTCAACAATACACCAATATTTGTGGCTGTGTATAAGTTGTGATAAAGGGTCTTGTTCAGTGCAGACATTCAGCTCTTACCAGGATTTGGGGTAAAATGTCCCTTGGCCACATGTCTGGTTTGTCTGGGGAAGTGTGTTTGTTGTCCAGGCTCTACAAAGGGACTAAATGACACCTTTGGTCTTTCAGTCACTTTTAATGAAGCTGACCTTTTTTTATGAGATGCTTCTTTCATGTGTGACACTTTAGACTTCGCGTTATCTGGAGAATTACAAATCAACCAATAAAATACCGATATTAATTGACCTTTGATGGGCACCATATATTCTTTATTAAAATTGAAAAATGTGTCTTCTGTCTCCACCTAGTGGTGGATGTACACAATGTCAACAATTGGGAAATGAAAGACAATAATGTCCAACAGTTGAAATTAACTGTCATTCATTTATCTATTTCAAGAAGTATTTTATCCTGTTTTCATCTAGCTTTCATTAGCTATTACAATCACCAAATCAAAATGACAAAAAATGCAATTTACTGATAAACCACCCATGGATCAAGATTTCTTTGCACTGCATAAAGCAGAGAAATTCTCTCTCTGAGGTAACACTGAACCACATAGTATTCTTTCCATGATATCACACTTTACTCTCCTTTAGCCCACCAACATGTGCTCAAATATCTAAATGATTCACTGTGCAGGTACCTGAAAAAAATACACTCTGTATACTTACCATATCTTTTGGATGGATACCCGAGGATAGATTTAGCACTTTCCTAAAACAAACAAACAAACAAACAAAAAAAACAATAATAAAATAAACAGCACACCCTATAAGTATGATCATGTAGCTGTACTGCTGGTGATATAGTTTGACCTATAGTAAAATAAAATTACCTGCTTTGGAGTAGAGCTTTTCTGTTCTGTACAATCTTCTGATTCATCCTTTCTGGAATCCAATGCCAAATCTGGTTTGAAATTAGTAAAGGTTTGAAAACAAACTGTAACTTCAGCTGCATTGTTTTTTTTATCTGGAAATTTGTTTTTGGACTTTCACATCTCACCTTCTGCCTCCTTGTGAACAGAGTCAAACAGCATTTCACTTTGGTTCAACACAATATCATTAGTGTCTTTCAGGAGAGAGTGCCTCTTGGTTAAGCGGTCAACTAAAGCCAGTCTTGATTGACTGCTTCTTGAAACCACAAGGAAAACAGCAAAGACAGAACTTAAGCACACAGCACAAAGGAATAAACACTTCAATAATTTAAAGCTCCACATTGCTCCATGTATTGCTAGTTTTATCAAAAATGAACTACTCCAGATTTTTCGTTGACCTCGTTTAAGTTAAACACCTGATGTTCAGCGTACCTTAGATTTTCACTCTGATTGAGAGGGAAGCTCTTCTGTTGAGGCACAGAGTCAGAGGCGAACTGCATTATGGCAACTTTGCGCTCAGTGTCTCTGACTGAACAGCTATCTGGAAAGCAAAGGAGTTCACAAATTAATATGAAAAGCTTGTCTGAAAAGACCAATGAGTGGAATGCCTCAGACTCACCCAGCTTGCGTAGGCTGGGTATGGCATGCACTACATAAAGGCGGTATTTTGGGCAACTTTTGGTCAGAGGGTTGAGCCTGAGGTCCAGCTCTCTCAAAGCTGGCAGCTCAAACAGCACTTTCACCTCTTCAAGGGAAGGTATACAGTTATAGTAGAGAATCAGCCTCTCCAGCAGTTTCAAGTGTTGCACCCCCTGTGAAGAAACCAATAAAATTTAAGCAGGGGATAAGCAACAGTTAAGTCTAACAGTGTCACTGACTGTTTTCGCTAATGGCATCTACTACAAAAGTTTGAAAAATACTTGTTAGGGTGAGCATGTGAAAAAAAGGGATGGGTGAACTGAGGGAGGTGTATGTTCTGTTTTCTTCATCCTTGCATTTATTGTGTTAGAGTGTGCTTTCTACTCCGACATCTTGAATTGGAGTGCTTGGAGTTGGGCCAGTCTATTTATTCTACAAACAGCAATGGAGATACAACGTACACCCGACTAACCCTTTGCTTTCTCAGTTACTTATGCTTGTGCTGTGTAGACAAACATTCTTCAGAACTACTAAATTTTATTTTAAATTATAGTGGAGATCCAATTGTTTCTAAGAATCCAAATGTCAGGTTTTAATTTGGGGCAAAAATAAATTGAATAGGGCCCAAAACAGCAGTAAAGCACAATAATAAAAACAAGGAGCCATACATTTGCATTTTTCACTCGGGGTCAATTATACAGATTCAATGAAAAACTTGAACGAGCTAATATAGAATTTATATGATAATGTAAACAATTGTATGATAAATATCCAAACATAAAATCTACTGAAGTGGAAAGAAAGTAGAAAATTGTGACCTAGTTTAACACATTAACCGTGTTGTTTAGCTTGAACAATGAGCACATATTTACCTCTACAATAGCTTTGTCTAGATTTCAAACCTACCTCGACAGAGATGAGTGCATTGTAGGACAGGTCCAGAGACTTTAGACGGACAAAGTTATTCAGAGCGTTTCCTAGACGCCTGATCTTCTCCTCACTCGTCCCCGTGAGGCTCAGTGAGCGCACATCACCTGTTTAAACAGCATAACACATGTATGAATGAGATTGCGTTGCATTTTTGCTTCATGCACTTTGGTTTGCAAAGGGTGACAGCTGGTGGTTACGTTAGCTGTGGTTAGCTTAGCTACCGATGCCGAAACTTGGGGAAGTAGCTGCAAATGTTTTCAATAACAAAAGCTGAACGTCACCACACTTGACGTTTGCTGGTATTCTTAAATTATGTTTGATCGAGAAAGAGTTACCGAGATAAGGATATTTTAATTGTAACCTGTCCCGTATCCATTTCTCTGTTATTGTTGTCAAACATACCACCGCCATACTGTTCGAAATATTGCTGCCTTCAGGAACATGCGCTACTTTGTACTCCATTCTGTTTTAAACACTAATTGTTTCTAACAGACCGTTAAATTAAATGATAATAGGTAAAATTGTATTACCACTTTATAGTTTTTCTTGATAGCACTCTTCTCATGATAGTTTATAAATGACAGCTATCAGATTTCTTTATGACTTACATACCGTTTGAAGCTCATTTGTAGAATGCTGTCATATACAAAAGCAATGCAAAAAGCTTTACATAGAGAATTTAAAACTGAAAACAAGCAATACTAAAGTTATTTATAAGACATTTGACAAATTCAGAGCGCATATAAATTGTTTTTCTAAAGTGATGATAATTCTAATGGTGACAGAGTTTTCGTTTAAATTTGAACGCATCGTTTGGCTCATGCGCAATGCGCAAATCCGGACTTATCACGTGTCAAAACAAATGTGATTGTTCCTCTATAAAGTTTGTTTTCTGGATAGTTTGTCACTATCAGCCAACCTTTAGATAAATTGTATAGTTGTAGGCTATTACATTAATTAGGAGCTAACACGTTTCATTGTCGTAAGTAGAGGTAGCACGTTCTCAGGGCCAATGGCGTCCTGTGTAACGGGGTGGATAACTTCATGCTCCAACGTCATTTTATCTGCCACTGCATTGTACTCCTCTTATAGACTCTTTAAGGTAGGTGTCATTCAGTGCAGTGTAGAGGAGTAACATTTAATGTACTAGGATGAACTTTATAACGTTGGTAGACCTGTGTATTTGCCTGTATGCTTTCCGAACTAGGGCGGTAACAAGTGATTAGCATTAGGTTAGCGGTTAATGTGCAGGCAGTTTTTCGAGTTTTTAACTTCAGTCTTTAAATTTGCAGTCGAAGTATTTAGCTTAGAATCATATATGACAAAGAAAACCAGTTAATACTTTTATTCCATTCTTTCTCTTTTTTGTTTGCTTGAAAAAATAACTAAAGTGATTACTCACTTATCAAAATGGTTGCTGGTTATTCTTCTCATGGTCAGCTAAACATCTAATCTTTAAGCTTTATAAGACACACATGGCTGAAGTCTCTTTAAATTTCAATTAGAAGTTGGTTAGGTATAATCAGTAAAAAGCCCATAGCTAAATTTCTGACTGTAATTTTGCTTCTGCATCTACATTCATCTGTCCATACAGGACCACAGGGCTCCTTCAGTGGGCCTATTCATGCTGGGACTCTCTGCAGCGCTTTGCATTTTGCATCCCTCCAGCTCACACCTAACCTCCTTCCAGAGGGAAGCTGAGTGGGCTGGAGAGGTTCTGGCTCCAGCGCTGGTCTCCTTCGACTTTCTGTGGATCAGCCAAGACCACAACACTGCACACATTCTCCTGTGTGGCTCCTGCCTGCTGCTGGGACTGCGTGATTGGCTCTCACCACATGCACTCACAGTCCTGACTCGCTGCGCGGGTCTGTCCTCCCTGTCCTGCTGCCTGACAGTTTGCCTGTTTGCCAGTAATGCTCTAGGGGCCCTAGGTGGTGTGGCCCTCAGTCTGCCACTGCTTTTGTCTCCGCAGGTTGAAACTAACTCTTTTGCTCCACTGATTTCTCAGGCTGCCCCTGACGGACTGATGAAGTGGTTTTTAAAAGGATTCATGGCCGTAGGCTGTTGGGCCTCAACACAGGCCCTTGGAAAGTTTCTGTTGGATGTGACTGACTGACAAATTGATGGCATATAGTAAAATAGGAGAGATCTGTGTGCTTAGACAGATCTGTGCAACTTTATGAACTTGCTGGTGCTACTAAGTGACAAATGTGGTAACATCATATAAAGCATTACATGCTTTTACATATACACTCCCTGACAAAAGTCTTGTCCTATAAGGACATAGTAACCTAAAATGTCATATAACTTTATTTCTAATCATTCAGTTGTCACAGTAAATTGTTAATTTTAATGTCAAGTGCATTCACATTAATAACTGGGTGCAAAATGAAACCATCAAAAAGTGTCCTGATGTTCACAGCTTGGTGAAGCCCATAACATCTGCTCTGGTGTTTGTTTATATCATGGTATGTCTGTTTTTGGAATATGTGTGTTTTTACTGGAATGTACAGTAGCTGATACACCAAGACCATGGCTGAACTCTACACAAACTTAATTTGCACAGAATAAGGCAAAACACTGATTCTATTGAACATCCATGTGCATAATGTACATAATTCACAAATGACAGGCCAGGGGTGGTGTTGTGCATCACTGTAGGGCAACATTAGCCAAATTCAAAATACTGAAAGTGCCTGGGTGATGTTTAACATGTCTGACCTGACTGTCGTGAAGCTGGTGTGTGGGTATTTTAATGTCCTATATGATAATATTAGTGCATTTCTAGCAGGCTGTATATATTATCTACAGTACATGGATCACTGACATCCAGTACACATCTGCTAAAAGCTTCAGTGTTTGCTAAAACATCCAGCTGCCTCAGAGTCTGGGTCCTGTGTGTTCTATAGCCTCAGCAGTATCAGTGCCCTACTCTTACTTTGTCGTGCTCATTTCACACTCAGCACTGCACTTTTTTTTATTACATCCTTAGTTTTAGTGGCTGTAATCTAAACTGAAATGACCTCATCTCTAACTCACCACCACTTAAATGAGGTTGGTGTAATTTTGTTTGTCCACAGTGCTGTCCTTCCTTGATATTGATGTTCTTTACAGTGATTTGTTGTTGACACTGCAGTGTTTCTCAGCTGCCTCAGCAAATTTACTGCAGTCTATGTACAAACATCAGTGGCTTTGTGCCTCTGCGCCTCCCTGTGCCTTGTCGGGCATCAAGGCCACTAGTGTACAGAGATGACTGATCGCCCACATTAATAGTTACCAGTGTACGCACTTCCGTGCAACACTTCCGCCTTAACATCAGTGTTTATGAAGCTCAGAATGTTTGTTTTTGGTGAAATCATCATAAATGTATAAACTGAATTATATGTTTATTATTGAGGTGATAGTTAAAGGTGGTGTACTGGACTACATTATATTTATAGATGTGTCTATTTTTGTCCTGCCTAGCTACATACATAAGAAGGCCAGAATATTAGGAAGAATATTAAGGCAGAAGTGTTGCATTGAGTTGCATACAATTGTACAGGTGTACCTAATAAAGTGGCTGGCCAGTGTATTTTCAACATAATTTATTTGCACATGTGTGACTTTGGAGTGCCATTTATGAGTCCGTTAATTTTTTTGGCCATGTGGAAGTGTCTTTAAAAGGTTACACATTGTAATTTTATGCTTTTATTTACATTATTAATATTAATTTAAGGAAAATAAAGTCAACATATATTAAATACACCGATGTGAATGTTTATGAGAAAGTCACCCAGCTATAAAGCTTTACATTGCATTTGAAACAGCCATTGTCTCACGTTCAACTCTTCAACTGTTGTACTACTAATAGCACTTGCAAACATCTCAGTATTTTGTACATTATGCAGCAGTTTCTGATCCACATGAACACCTGGAACCTGGCACATCTCATCCACTGCTGTCTCAGGCTGTTGGTATCGGTATCAACCCCATCCTGTCACAGTCAGTGTCACTGCAGCGGAACAGGAACGTGCAGTGAGCATGCTCATTGCAGTTTCAGCCTGTAGATGGAGAAAAGTGAAGAGGAGGGGAGAGAACTACACGGGGGCTGTATGCAGTACTCACTGGGATGCTGTTGCAGCTCTGAGAACAAGGACTGCATGGGAAGACTTGTCATTGACAGCACGAATGGAGTGTGAAGGGGGAACACAAATGACTGGAATGATGAATTACCATCACCTAAGACGAGAAGATGTGTGATAAGGTAAAGACTAAAGCATTTTAGCATAGTGGAATGGGGTGACTTAAGATCTTAAAATATTTAGCCTCTGGAGTAGCCATGGTATATTGAGACCAGTTTTACCATCATAAAACCTTTATCATTGAAGCTTGATTCTTACGTCATGGTAAAACAAATAATGATCTGCTTTTCTGCTACATAAAATATTGTGTCCTTTACAGTAACTCTCGGACGGAGCGGAGATGTACGCCTTCTACTCCCTTTTAGTCTACATTTTCTACACTGTCTTTAAGAAGGGGGAGGAGGAAGCCTTGGAGGGGGGGTGCGGAGCTCCCTCAGATGTATGTCTAGACACATTATGTCCAGCCTCAGGGATCCTGTGCCAGGAAAGCATTTCTGCATGCTTCACTGGCTATACCACATGTGTTCTTCATAAAGGATGTACACATAGTTTTTCTTGCATGTAACTATGCATATTTATATATAGATTGTGTAAATATTTTGTGCATGCATTACTGCCTGACCCTTATGTATGATACTGTGTTCAGGAGCCAGGAGCTGTTTCCATGGAAACAGAGAGAAGACAGCGAGATGGCCACGCCCCCAGAGTGGGAAAAAAGGCTTGTGCTCGATCTAGTGAATCAAGTGAGTATACAAACAGCTAGTACAACATAAGGCATGTTGTCTGGTGTAGAAGAATGATATGAATAACTGATTAATTAGTGCATACGTTCCATTAGTCTATTCTGTTGCCATTCAGGCAGTTGCAGTGACAGTGATGAAATGTCTCTGAGTGATGAAGAGGAGGAGGAGGATGGCCCTGATATCCCAGCATACACTCCTCTGGCTGCCTTTTTGTCCTTCAAACAGGATGCTGAGAAGCGACGGGCCTCCCAAGTTAATCTGGACACAACAGGGAAGGTAGAAAAACTGTGCCATCATCTTGACAGAGCTGCTTCCCTGATCATGAGAATTTAAATTCACAGTTCCCCAAATGGGTGTTGTGGAGTGTTACTAAACTTTGTGTGTGTGCTGTCTGTATTGCACAGCTAGCAGAGTCTCCCTTGGTGGCGGTGATGTCCCACTTGCTGAGTTTTCTGGAGCAGTACTCCCACTTTCAGCAGCTACAGCAGCAGGCTGATCAATACCGGGTACAGCTGAAGAGACACCGCGTCCAACACCGCCGCCAGATGAAGGCTCTGCGAGCCTCCTACCGCCAGCGCCTCAGGGACAAGAACAGTGTCATCAGCAGCCTGGAGGAGGCCATCAGTCAGCAGCAGACCCCCAGCCCACTCAGCGAGGGTGAGATGAGACAGGATGAAAGGGATGGGGGAGGATGTAATTGAGGTGTAAGAGCAATGGGTTCATATTTCAAGGCTGTGGGTGTGAGGATGAAAACCTAAGTCAAATAGAGGTTATAGGGCTGTGTTAATAACCACAGGTGAAAAGAGGAGTGGAAAATTACACAAGGGATTAAAGGTTATGATATGAATCTTCAGACTGGATGAGAGCATCTGATGTGTGGAAGAAGATTAATTGGGAAGACAATCAATAAAGAAAGCTACGCTCACATGCTCATCGTAATATGTGCATTGATTATAGTGATTCATGCTCTTGCTCACAAATCAAAATACTGTAATTTTCCATTACTGTGTTAAATGTGACCAGGATGTGAGAAGAGAAGGTCATTCAATGCGAGTATGGGGCGAGGGTGGCACTGTACAGCTTGTTATAGAACAGTACCATCACCGTCAGAAGCAGACTGATTGGATTTGTGTGTTGTCTTAAGTCAAGTTGCCATTAGTGATGTCAGAAGCCAGACTAACACAATACAGATACAGCTGATCTGAAAGATTGCAGTGTTGCTATCTGTTGTATCTCAGACTTGACCAGATGGTTGTTAGACCTCAGAGCAGAAGGGCAGACCAACAAGCCTGACAGTCTTACATCACTTTGCTGTGCATATGTACAGTATATCAACAAGTGCATGACCCTGAAAAACTGTCGACACAGATCAGATTCCTGTCCTCAGGCTGACCGATAGAGATTCAGGTAAATATGTCAGTATGTATGTTAACATGTATGATAACCAAACTGGATTACATGCAATGTTTAGGTGTGTTTAAAAGGACGACCTCATGACTCAAGTTAGTTGCAGGGCAAAGATACATGAGCATGTGGCAAGGATCTTCGGTACTTGGATAGTGACTCTGTGACTCTGTCATGACTAAAACACATCTGTTAGTAGTGTTTTATTCCCAGTAAATACACTTACAAAGTCTGGCACATGCTAGGTGCCACGTGTACTCATGTTGGACTAAAAGTAGCCTGCGGTCCATGTCCCTGTGTTACAAGGCTGTTGACTTTGTTTGTTTACGATAGTGCAATGTGCAGGTCTCAGTGCAGGAGGGCTACTGTACACTATTTCCATTTGGCAGTTTTTTTTAGCTACTACTCGGTGTTTAATCTTTTAGAGTAAATGGCTGGTGCTGCATTCAGTAGTCATTCATCAAGGTGACAAGAAATCTCAAGCTTTCTTTTCTTCTTCTAGATGATAACTCAGATGTTTTTCCTTTCTTGCAAACACATTTCTATCAGCACCCCTGATGTACAGCTGTTGCCTTTCCTTCATGCTTTATTCCCTTTCTGGCACCACCACTTCTCTGCACCATTGTGAAGCAACAAACGTGACATGGCATGTTGAGAAAATGAGATTAAGCCCCTGCACTGAAAATCAGAGGTGACAGAGCCTGATAAATCATTTAGGAGGAGGAAAGGAATTAAAATCCTGTTAGGCATGCTGCTCGGGTTTCCATCTGACACTATAGGAGTCTTATCAGGTTGTTGCCTGTATAACCTTGTTTCTACACTTGATGAGGAGGAGGAGGGGAATGCTGATGATAGTGCCTGTTCTTGTCTTCCAGATGAGTCCAGCAGTGATGTAGGGACACAAGCTGGGGTTCACAGGCTGGTGGAGTCTCTGTATGGCCTGCAGGGTGAGAGGAGTAAACTGAGAGGTGAACTGCGCCTGCTGCACTCGCAGCTGGAGCAAAAGGAGAGAGACCGACACTCTCGCATACAGGCCTTTCAACAACAGGTAGGCAGTTGCATATTAGTTGAATCCATTTTTGAAGAAATTGTTGCATGAAATCCATAAATGATTGAATAATTCTATCCTGTGTAAATTATTTATTACAAACTGTTCATTAATGACTAATTGTCATCAAAAGTGATGGCGGTGTGTAGGCATGCAGCGGCCCGGGGCCCTCGGCTCCATACATAATTTCGTTGTACGTGTCACAATGTTACAATGACAATAAATAAAGCTTCTTCTTCTTCTTCTTAACTTTAATTATTTTATGTCTTAAGTATGAGGGGAGAGAAGGCATCACCAGTTCCTGCTTATGGACACAGAATTATTATGCATGCATACAGTGGACAAAAAGTGAATGATTTTGAATTACCTGGTTTTTCTGCATTATTTGGTCAAAATGTGATCTGCTCTTCAGCTAAGTTACAAGTATAGACAAACACAATGTGTTTAAGCTAATACCACACAAACAGTTATAATCTTTTATGTCTTTCTATTGGGATGAGGTTTTCATGTTGGTATTCCATTTCCCTTTCACACCATACGTTGTGCTGTGAGTTCTCCCCAAAATATTCAGCCTTAGTTTCATGGGTCCACTAAACAGTATTGTGAGGAGGAATTGTCCAAAAACGTCTCCTGAACACTGTCTGGCCTAATCCATAGCTACAGAAAGAGCTGGTTTGACATTATTGCTGCCAAAGGAGTGTCAACCAGTTATTAAATCCAAGGGTTCTCTTACTTTTTTCCATCAGCACTTTAAATGTTTAATGGGTGCCTTCAATACACACATCCATCCATCCATCCATTTTCTTCCGCTTATCCGGGGCCGGGTCGCGGGGGCAGCAGTCTAAGCAAAGATGCCCAGACTTCCCTCTCTCCAGACACTTCCTCCAGCTCCTCCGGGGGAATGCCTTATAATGGTTTATATGGTATTATCTTCACCACATTGTGTTTGTCTCCACTTGTGACTTATGTAGATGACCAGTTAATGCAGAAGGTAATTCCAAATGGTTAACTTACCTTTTCCTGCCAATGTAACTTCATAAATATAGTGTACCTCTCAGATGCTGTTATTGTGCATATACACTCATTATACTCAGAGGTGTTCCTAATATTCTGACCCTCTCATGTATGTAGCTGGGGAGGACAAAAATGTAGAGACACCTCTGAATATAATCTAGTCCAGTATAACACTACCTTTAACTATGACCTCAGTAATAAACATATGATTGAATTTATACATTTATGACAACTTCACAAAAATGGAAACATTTTCAGCTTAAACACAGATGTTAAGGTGGAAGTGTTGCACAATTGTACAGGTGTACCTAATAAAGTGGCCAGTGAGTGGATGTGAATTGGGTTTTAAAACCAACTATGCAATGTGATCTACACTGCCATTTTGTCCAGGTGTTTTCATGCAGAAGAATTAATGTATCTCGAGACATTTACTGGAAAAATAAAGGTTAAATAAAACCAGCATAATTATACAGTTTAACTTCACATTGTGCTATTCATAATAAAACAGGGAGACAAGTGTGTGAATTTTTTCTGACTCAAGCCTGTTTTAGTAAACGTATGTGTTCTAATTCCTTTCACAGATTGATGAGCTCAAGAGCTGCATAGAAGAGCGTGAGGAGGAGCTGGCAAGACTGAGAACAGCCACAGTAAGTGCTGCGAACTACTGATTTAATTATTCATCCAGTCTTTGTCACTTTGCACATCATCAGTCACAGTTTATTCCCACACCCTCTGAATGACATGCCATACTGTAAACGTGCCCAACAATGGTCAACATGTCTTGTATTATATTCCCTCAGGGGGCCACAGACTCAGAGAAGCGGGTGCTTTGTCTGTCAGCAGAGAACGAGAGTCTGAAACAAAGCCTGAGCGTGACCCAAGGCCTCCTGCAGCAGCTGTCAGCCATCCCCTCCCAGTCCAGCGCCATGCTCATCAAGGTGAGACACACAACCACAGCTGAGAGCTCACTGATGTGGTACAAACACTTGTCACTGACTTTGTTTCATATGCTGTCCTAGGAGAATGAGAACCTCCGCTGCAGAGTGCAACAGCTGGAGATCTCCCTACAGCAGCGTGCTGAGCAGCTGTCACAACTGGAGCGACAAACTGAACAAAGTGAGTGGAGGAGAGGAGAGGAGCTGAGGAAACGAGAGGACAGAGTGAAAGAGCTGCAGCTGGAACTGGACAGAGAGAGAAGCAAGGAGCCGGTGGTGAAGGTAATTCCAGTCTGACAGTGGCTTTCAATTGGTCTGAATATTTAGGAACACACCAACTTGAGCAGTACAGGAGGAATAATGGACAAAATAGGATTTGGGGCAAATTAATATTATAGATTACCTCCTGATTTTTTTAACTGATTGTTTTTAGACAAACTTACTCAAATGAGATGTATTTCAAAAATATTTTCCAGTATGTCACACAGACTGTGGAGGTGGAATCACATGCCACGTTAAAACAGCTGACTAAAGCCAGACAGAGGAATGAGCTGCTGTCCGACAAGCTGTCCAATCAAAACGTGCGGTGCAGACAGCTGGAGGAGCAGATCAGGAAGTCTGATGAATACAGCTGTAATCTGCAGCACAAGGTATCTGTAGACAGTAAAACACACACGTAGATTAAGCTGGCTTTAACATGTTGTACTTGGATGATATACAACATACAGTATATGACATGTCTTTTTAAATGTCAACTGTTTTTTTTTATGTTGTTGGGCTGTCTTGGTTGACACGCCTCTGCAACGTCGCATGGCGGTCGGGGACAGTGCCTTTGGACTGGCAGACCGGGGTGGTGGTCCCTCTTTTTAAGAAGGGGGACCGGAGGGTGTGTTCCAACTATAGGGGGATCACACTCCTCAGCCTCCCCGGGAAAGTCTATGCCAGGGTACTGGAGAGGAGAATTCGACCGATAGTCGAACCTCGGATTCAGGAGGAACAATGCGGTTTTCGTCCTGGCCGTGGAACACTGGACCAGCTCTATACCCTCTTCAGAGTGGCAGAGGGTTCATGGGAGTTTGCCCAACCAGTCCACATGTGCTGCGTGGATCTGGAGAAGGCATTCGACCGTGTCCCTCGCAGTGCCCTGTGGGGGGTGCTCCGGGAGTACGGGGTCC